CCGGTAAAGCCAACGTTGTCGCCGACGCTCTTAGCCGAAAATCCATGTCCGCCTTGATCATTAAACCGCCGCTCGAATCAACTATCAAGTCCGCTCAAGACCATGATGATCAACTTGTCAAAATCCGAGAAGGCTTAGCAACCGGTCAAAATCCAAATTTCTCAATAACCGACGGCAAAATCTTGAAATTTCAAGGGAGAATTTGCATTCCGGCGAACAAAGAGATCAAAGGATTAATTCTCGACGAAGCTCACAAAACACCCTACTCTTGCCATCCGGGTGAAACTAAAATGTATCAAGACTTGAAGAAGTTGTACTGGTGGCCAGGCATGAAGAAGGATATAGCCAAATACGTATCCGAATGCCTAATTTGTCAACAAGTTAAAACGGAACACCAAAGGCCCGGTGGACTTCTACAATCCAACCTTATTCCCGAATGGAAATGGGAAAGAGTAACGATGGACTTTGTTCAAGGTTTCCCGAAGACTCTTAAGGGATCCGATTCAATATGGGTGATAGTCGATCGCCTAACTAAGTCCGCACACTTCTTACCGGTCAAGACCACTTTTAGTCTCGAAAAGTTGGCCGAACTTTATATCGGAGAAATCGTCCGACTCCATGGCGTTCCGATATCAATCATCTCCGACCGAGATCCTCGATTCACTTCCAAATTTTGGAAAAGACTGCACGAAACGATGGGAACCCGTCTAGCCTTTAGCACGGCATACCATCCCCAAACCGACGGACAATCGGAAAGGACAATCAAGACCCTCGAAGACATGCTTCGAGCATGTATAATGGATTTTGGTGGTAATTGGGAAAGCCGTCTACCTCTCATCGAATTCTCGTACAACAATAGCTTCCAATCTTCGATCGGAATGGCACCTTACGAAGCCTTGTACGGAAGAAAATGCCGTTCTCCAATCCATTGGGACGAAGTAGGAGAGCGAAGATTATTAGGACCCGAGCTAGTCCAACACACCGTTGACATAATCAAGAATATTCGAGAGAAAATGAGAACCGCCCAAGATCGCCAACAAAAATACGCAAATAAAAGAAGACGAGAATTGGAATTCCAAGCCGGTGATCACGTATTCTTGAAAGTTGCTCCACTCAAAGGAATCATGCGATTCGGAAAACGAGGAAAATTAAGCCCTCGATTCATTGGACCCTTCGAAATACTCAACCGAATTGGTGGCCAAGCCTATCGCCTCGCCCTACCGCCTCAACTATCTAAAATCCACAATGTCTTTCACGTCTCCATGCTCCGAAAATATATTCCCAACCCTAACCACATCCTTGAAACCGAACCCCTTGATTTATCCCCGAACCTATCCTTCACCGAAGAACCCTCCCAAATATTAGACCGAAAAGTTAGGAAACTCCGAAACAAAAGAATGCACAAATGTACTCACGCAAAAGTGCATTCACAAAAAGGATCGTGAAAACACAAACTACATTCCTAGGACAGTTGTTATCCGGAACTAATTGAAAAAGGTACAAATTTTGGGGACAAAATTTTTTTAAGGGGGGGAGATTGTAACACCCCGCATTTTCGGTAAAATAATTTTTACCACCTTTATGTGCATATTTGTGAAATTAGAATTTATAATAATTCTTGCATGATTAGTATTTACGTGAATTAGGAAATTATGTGATTATTATGTGAATTATGTGATTAGGGAAATATTTCGAAATAGTATGTCGAAATAAATTATTTTTCATGAAGTAGGATTTTTGCATATGAATTTAAATGAGCATTTCATCATATTTATGCATGCACAAAATTTTAGAAAATAAATTTTTATCATGCATTTTAGGATTTTTAATTAATGTAGAAAATTTGAAAATCCTCCCCACATTTCTTGAATTTTCGGACACCTCACACACACACACATGATTTTTAAATTGCATATTAATTAGTTTTAAACATGCATTAGTGAGGTTGTACTTTGAGCATAGAAAGAAATACCCAAGCCTAGCCCCCTACTTTATAGACTAGGCATGCTTTTCACTCCACTTTAAGTAAGACCAAAGGTCTTTCTTCTTCTCCCTTCCTTCTTCATTTCGGCAGCCACAACCCCCACCACCATAGCCACCATTTTCTCAAGCTTGAACCACCCAAGAACCACCACCACTTCAATTTTTGAAAATTGCAAAATCACCCCCAACCCACCTAAAGATTAAATTGCCAAGAAGCCCCTCCTCAATACTTAACCATTAAGGTTGCAAGCCTCCCCATTCTATAAATAGAACCCATTACCAAGTGTTTTCTCATCTCCCCACTACAATCCTAAGAAATCTCTCTTCTCTTCTTTCTTCTTTCATTTTCGAAATTAGTAGTAGAAGAAGCTCAAAATCTCTTCCTCGAGAGATTCTTCAATTTGAATGTAAGAGCTTCATCTCCTCTCTTCTTCGAAAATTTCCTCTCTTCCTTCTTCATATTGTTTTGTAATCTAACTCTTAATCTCTTCTTGTATTAGAGAGAAAAGAGCTACAAATCCTTCCCCTAAAGAGTATAGGTGAGAATTCTTGAATTCTTGCTCAAACCTACAACACCACTAGTATTTTCGGTTTTTATGTGTTTCTATTGTTTATTATGTGATTATATGTTGTAGATGATGATTGCATGTTAGTGTTTTCAAAAGATGACTTTGTTCTTGAAGTTCTATGATTTTTCGAAAATTGGGGAAAAATGTTTTAAAAGGCTTATTTGGCTTAATTAGTGCCTTGCATGTGTTGATGTGTTGATCTAGTATTTGATTGTTGATTTCTTAAAAAGAAAATGAATTTTTGGCCTAGCCATGAAACTTTCGAATTTTTGGGAAAAAATGTTTTAAATGGCTTATTTGGCTTAATTAGTGCCTTGCATGTGTTGATCTAGTGTTTTATTGTTGATTTTTGAAAAGAAAATGAATTTTTGACTTAACTAAGGAACTTTCGAATTTTTGAGGTAAAATGCTTGAAATTGCTTATGTGGTTTATTTCGTGTTTTGCATGTGTTGATCTTGTGTTGATTGTTGTTTTAAGGCCTTGCATGTTAAGATTGGTGATTGATTGTTGATCTAAGGTCTTGCATGTTAAGATCTAGTGATTGATGGTTGATCCAAAGTCTTGCATGTTAAGATCTAGTGTTTTCTATGAAAAATGGTTTAAGAACTAAGAATTTGTGCTAATTTGATTTAAAATACTCTTGCATGTGAAGATCTAGTGTATTTTCTTGAATAAATGTAAAGATGGAAGTCTTGAATTTTATTCTTGGAAAAATGCTAGATCTAGTGAACTTTGATGTTAGATTGTTTTTGCATGTTAAGATTTCGGTTATTTCTATGTTTTTATGATTAAATGATTTTGTGAAACTTTATGTGTATTTTCTATGTGCTCTTGCTTGCTTATGTGAATCATTGGGTGTAAGGATGAGAGAAGGGTAAGTAGAAGGGTGCATGGGTGGGTGCATTAAGTGTCATGAATTTAAAAAAAAAGATAAAACTATGTTGGAAAGTCTTTCGAGGGTACGGTAAATTTCTCGGGTACGGCGAGCCTGGTACCGTAGGGCCTAGGGGTGGTTTGATCCCACGTAGTTAGACATGGTTCGAAATATATGGGGTTATTTACCGGTAACTTAGATTGGCTCTTCCGAGGGATTCCCGACAATTTTTCATGTCATGCATGTTGCACTATGGTGTTGATGATATAGAGGGAAGATCTCACTCTATGGTCTTGGGATCGTAGGGTTATAAAGGTGGGAATTCCTTCTATTATCTTCAATACGTGTCATGGCATAGGGTTATAAAGGTGGGATATTCTCACTCTATGGTCTTGGGATCATAGGGTTATAAAGGTGGGAATTATCTCACTCTATGCGTGGTGACAATTATGTGAATGAAGATCGCCGACGAAAAAGGGAAGTATATGATTGTTTTACTTCATGTTGTATGTTCATGTATAAGATATATGTATGTATATATATATGTATAGATATATGTATGCTCTATGTGCTATGTGTATTTGCTATTACTTCAAGATTCTCATTGAGTCCTCAAAGACTCATATAGGTGTTGTATGTTTGTAGGTATACCCGATTTAGGGCCCGAGGAGTGAAGTTGGGGATCGAGCTCGAGAATCGGAAGGAGATCGTATGGAGGGGTTGTGGATAGTGTTGGCTCTTAATCTAGTTATGTGGTTTTATTCGTATAATATGCTTATAAAAACGTTTGATACGGTTTTAGGTATTTTCTACCGGTCGCTTCCTCCGATCGGTGGAAATTATTAAAAGACGATATGTGTAATAGTAATTAGGATTACCCTATTTTGGATAATTAATCGGTAATCCGTAGCCTTTTGTAAGCGAAAGTAAATTTTCACTATTTATATGCATGCATGCTTTCGGCTAGTAATTTCTTCGTGTTTTGCCTCCATGTTCTAAAATCATTTTCATATAGGTGTTCTGCTTAGAAAATTATGAAATTTTAGGAGTCTCTGCATCTCTCTTTTCTCATCATATTGATAGGTCTTGTGCATGATTTGGGTAAGTATTCATTTAGTTGTGATTTAATTCTCACTACTGCATTGAAACAGGGTCATTCGGGTGTTTTCTGGTATAACTGGAGTTTTACTCACTCAAATGCCTTGTTTCCACTTGGAAAATGTTTTAAACTTATTTTTCTGCCTTGGGGTAAAACTTGGTAGTTTTTGGGTCAGTGAGGAATTTATTGTGAATTTTCAAAACTCCCTCCTCTGTTCTGGATTTTAAACCGAGTGACTGTGCTATTTTATTTATTTCTTCTAAATGGCCATGCATATTTCAAAACTGTTTTGACTGAGTGATCTAGACCCGTGTTAGATGGTATGGTATTATTTTGGGGTCATTTGCATGAGTAGTTTAAGAGGAATTAATTTTTAAAGCTTCTGCATTGAATCTGTCCGCATTTGCATTAAGTCCATCATGCCTAGTTACTTTCTAGTCTTGCATTTAGCATGCATTGGAGTTAATTGATCGATTAGGGTTTAGCAAGCTGTGCCCTCTCTCCCTCTGATTTAAAAAGAAAAGAAAATTTCACGTAAATTTATGTCCACAAAAATCATGTTTTCAAAAGTCTTCCGCTGAGATTACATATAATAAGGGTAATCGAGAGAGGGGTGTCACAGCTTACTTGAGTCGGTATCAGGCCCAGACGTACACACACATTGGTGGAAATAAAGGAATGTGTAGAACCAGAATCAATCAAAGCATACATGGGTTCCCCAAGAATAAGAACGGTATCTGCGATCATCGTCGGATCTTGACGTACTTGTTCCCGGGTCATGGCAAAAGCGCGGCCGGGGACTCGAGTTTGAGCGTTGGGGCAGTCTCTCGCTTTATGGCCGGGCTTTCTGCATCGAAAACATAACTCGATGTCTTTTACGCAGATCCCAAAGTGTGCCTTTCCGCAGTTCGAGCAAGTTGGCTTGGTCGTTGGCGCTACTGGTTTAGGGTTTGAATTTTGGACCTTCTTCCCTTTGAATTTGTGATTCCCAAAGTGGGCTTTCTTCCAAGGTCGTGGTGTGGGTGGTTGGGGCCGCTTCCCTTGTTGAATCTCATTCTCATCTTGGGCAGCCGTTAGTTCTTTGTCCACCATCTGGCGAAAGGTGGTGGCATCGGACATGCGGATATCCCTTCGGATTTCGGGTTGTAGTCCCCTTGTGAAGTGGTTTTTCTTTTCTTCGACGTCCTTGGCGATAAATGGGGCATACAGGCATCCTCGTTCGAATAATCGAACGTATTCGGTCATGGAAAGGTCCCCTTGGCGGAGTTCCAGGAATTACGTGAGTTTGTTGGCCCGGACGTCCTTGGAAAAGTATTTCTCGAAGAATTGGACCTTGAACGCCTCCCATGATAAGTTCTCAAGTTCGATACCTTCCTTAGCTCCCTTCCACCAGTTCTGAGCTTCGTTGTGAAGTAAAAAGAGGGCACATTGCACGCGTTCACGGTCATTCATTTGCATGTAATCAAAGATCACCTCCAAGGATTTGATCCACTCTTCGGCTACGACCGGGTCGGGCCCACCGTGAAACTCAGAGGGATTCATGCGAAGGAAACGTTCGTATAGGTTTCGGGGATTTGGTTGGGGTGTAGGTGGGGTTTGTCGGCTTTGAAGGAGTTGCTGAATCTGATTGTGATGATTTTGCGCTTGCTCGCGGATAAGGTTGGAAAGACCGGGAATAATGTTAGCGGTGTCTGGGAGATTACTCGTGGTGGCGGTGCTCCGAGTTTGCCTTCCTGCCATGTCTTAGTGTGTGTTGCAAATAAAATTTTTAGAACATGGAAAGAAAAAAAAAATACAAGTAAACACATAATTACCGGATAGACCGAGTCTTCATGCTTCGAGGGTTCCGAATTCCGGTTCAGTGCTCGTATAAAGTTTCTACAAATTTTTTGCTCTGATACCATGTCTGTGACACCCCCTAGCAATAGTATGGCAAACCGAGACGGTTTGCCATGCACGGAAGCTTTATATGTATTATATAAGTATTTAGATATATGGGGAGACCCCAAGATTTAAAGAAACGTTTTTGAAGACCTAAGACTTAAAGACGAGGTGGGCTTCGGAAGAAAATTTTCGTCGAAGGGATTTAGTAGAATAGAGGAGCATATATCTAACTACTCTATTCATCCTTTATAGAAACAGTAAGTGGTGTCACCTTGATAATACATATTAATAATAGATTAGAGTCCATAGTTAAAACAACATATTAATCCTACATAAAATGGACCTTACTTATAGAGAAATGTTATACATGGACCATAATATAACAAAAAGGGGGTCCATCTTCGGAGGAATTAGCCTCCTTTACCACGGGTAATAATACACATGAGCTACTACGGAAATACTAATTGGCCTAAGGACAATATACACAAAAGATAGTACTACAAGCATTATAAGTAGATCCTCCATACGAGCCAAAAACCCGGAGTCGGCTTCTCGAACCGTCGACTAGTCCGATCCGGTGGAGTGAGTAGTACTAATACCTGCAAACGGAGAATATCTATATGAGCTAACAAAGCTCAGTAAGGATCTCGAAAGATACCGAGAATTTAAAATATAGTCATACTACGTACGTATATTATATTGTAGCAATACAAGTATAACGAAATTAAGTATAAATCACGTTTCTAGAATTTAACGTTCGTGAACTTTAGAAAGCTTTTTCATTTTATCGGATCCGATGAGAAATTAACTTCTTTACTTAGAAAATAAGAAGATTATTCTGAGCCCGTTTTCGGTGGAATCAAACCACCCAACTGTAGTATCTATGGTTGGAATACCGGCCCCCCGTATCCTTTCTCATCCTTTCTAAGTATTTCATTAACCTCCCCAATTTATTTTACTTAATTTCAAAAGTGGCATGGTCGAAGTATTTAGAATTCCATTTGGGTACATAAAGATACCAATATTCCGCAACAACCCATAAGTAATTTGAAACACCACAAGACATCACAAATATCAATCAAGTGACAAACAACCACATACTACACAAAAAGATTAACTATCATCATATATCAAGTTATGCATTCATGCATGCTTACCCACATATAACCTCAATTCAAAACAAGACTATTAAAGACCTACTTAATTTCTATATTTTCCTTAAGCTACTTAATCCCAAAATTTCTTTGCTAATTAATTTAGGATCAAGAAAACATATGAGTTTGGAAGATTTCGAGTATCCAGCACAACACCCCTTAATTTATGGAAATTACAGTTTTGACCCCAAAGTTCAAGACTCACACATGCAATTAACCTAAAAATTCATAATCAATATTTTCATGAAAATCAACCCTTAACCAATCTGAAATTTCGATCAACGCAGAAAAATCCAGTTAGAAGTTATTTTATGCAGAATTTTCGAAAATTACATATTTCACCCTAGATTCTCTAGATTTATACATGCAAGACCCTTAGAAATTCCCAAAAACCCTTTTTCTTGCAAAACCTTTCAAAAACTGACATTGTCCTTCGCTAAATGCTGGAAAACAGATTTGGAAATCCATTTAAAACTAACTTCTCAAAAATTACAGATTTGACCCAAAAATCTTTCGAATTACACATGCAACCACACTACAATTTCAAAATCCACTTTTTCATGAAAAACCCCTAACAATCCGAAATCTTTGTTCAATATATGCAGAAAACGAAGCTAAAAAATTAATTTATGCAACAACTTCGAAAATTCCATTTTTCACCCCAAAACCTTTAGATCCATACATGCAAGACCACTAGGAGTTCAAAAATTACTTTTTCTTGTAAGACTTCCTTAAATCTGGAATTTTCGTTCAATAAATGCTAGAAACCAGTTTTGAAAACCCATATAAATCTAACTTCTCACAAATTACAGATCTGGCCTGTAAATATGCAGATTTACACATGCAACCCCAAAACTTTGCCCAAATTAATTTTCTTCACAATTTTCGAAATAACTAAAATTTCTTTGAAGGTAATTAACTCAAATCCACCATTTATGACCTTTGATCATACATGCAGTGATATAAATCATATGAACTAACAAAAAGGAACAATTAAATGCAAGAACAACATAAAACAAGAAATAGGGGTGTCTTTTAAATTAATTTCGAAATTATGTTCTTGATACTTGATACCTCCATTTGCAGCAAGGATTTCGATTCCTTACCTCAAAAATAGAAAGAAACAAAAGCTAGCTGAAAGGGGAAGGTTCTTGAGGGCCTCTTCAAGTATGGAGATTCAACCAAGCTACTTTGATGGAGAAGGACACGGTATAGATTTCAAGGTGAGAGGTGTTTTCACTAGTGAAAGGACACCATGTATTCATAGTTTTTTTGGAGTATTCAAGGGCAAGGGTTAGATATGGAATTCTCATCTTTGGCTTGAGAAATATCTTGCTGATTTAGGGGGGGTGGTTCGAGCTTGATGGAGCTGATGACAATGGTGGTTTCGGTGGGTTGAAGAAAAGAGGAAGATAAGGGAGAGAGGGGGTGAGGCAGCCGAAATGTGAGAGGGGGAAGGAGACGCTTGGCCTTCTAATAGGCATGCTTGAGGTGGAGTGTTGGATTGGCCTTAGTAGGGGTTAGGCTAGGCTTAGGATTACCATTTTTATAATTATTTAATAATCCTCCCCTAAACACACACACATACATATACAGCACACATATATACATATATATTATGTATTATGGTAATTATGCTAAGTCATAGCATGCATGTATAATTCACCCGTAAACACATATGCACATAAGGTCACATATAAAATTCGATATCTACTAATTTAGCACATAATAACTCATGTATAGCCCTATCATTAGCAGATATTTAGCATTTAAGTGATGTGAGATTTAGTAATTTTCGTGTTTTGAAAACGTGGGGTGTTACAAATATACTAATACCAATGCATACAAATATCAATATCAATACCAATACCAATACCAATACCAATATCAGTACAATTATTAATACCAATACCAATACTAATATCAATATCAATACCAATATCAATACAATTACCAATTCCAATACTATTACCAATACCAGTACCAATATCAATACCAATACAT